GCGCGCATGACGTAGACCTCCGGTGGCTTTCGCTTCACTGGCCCCGGGACTCTGTGTCTTCTGATGCAGAGGTGTTCTTACCATCCGGGGAGCTTCACCACAAAGCGCACAGCCATCCCCAAACAGGTGAACGCATTCTTCCTGCGTTCCCAGTGGCCGGTTGCTTATCCACTACCTAGCCCAGCCAGCCAGGCTGTTTGGCAGCCCGTGCAAGATCAATGGACACAGACCCTGAATGCTTTCTGCTCATACTCGCCCGCCAGGCCAGTCTTCCCCAAACCACAGCCGGTTCACTAACTTTTCATCTTGCTCCATAGGAATTTCATATTTCTTCTTGATGATAGTTTTCTTAGCAATTCTAGTATGACAAAAACCTGAGACAAGTTGGAGCGCCTGCAGTGAATGTCGTTATGTCTGGTAACTTCTGCATTATCTTACATTGTGACTGTCATTGTAGAAATCAGTGGCTGTTCCTGAGCGCTGTGCTCCTCACTTTACCTGTAGAGCAAGCCCTGGTGTGGGCTTTGTTACCTGCCGGAGGTCACTTCGATCCCAGGCTGCAGGCAGGACAACATCCCAGCTGTCTGTCCTGAGCCCAGCCTTTTCTGAGCCTTTCTGCTGGTTTTGGACGAAGCATGAGAGCCTCAGATTGAGGAAACGACTCCCGAAAGAGCTCCTTCCTACTGAACAGGAGCGCATTAATCTATCCTCTCTGACAGTGTGGTTCGCCCAACTAAATACTATTGTTGCCCGCCTTCTGCTATTTTATTCACAAGAATTTCGCAATAGACTACTAAATGCTTTGCAGAACAGCTGCAATTTTCCCAACACTCTACACACACACACACACACACACACACACACACACACACACACACACACACAGGGGACTGACTCCAGGGCCTTTAGTCTTCTCACAGCCCTTGTCTTACTTCTTATTTTGAGGCAGTATCTCACTAAGGTGCCTGGGGCAGCCTTGAACTTGTAGCCCTCCTGCCTCAGCCTCCCAACTTGCGGGGATTACAGGTGTGCGCCACAGCGTTTGGCTGTCTTTCTTCCTAAGAAGCTTCCTCATCTCCCATCTACATCCAGGAGCCTCATCCAGCTGCTCTCCACGATGGGGTCCCTGTGGACCCCCCTATGCCAGATGTCTTGCGCCCTCCCCTCTCCTGCAGATGGCGTTCTGATCTCGGCCCCAGGGCGCCTGAGGGAATCATTTCGAGAAACTCATTTTCACGTTCTCTACCTACTGTCTACAGGAGCGCTTGACCACAGGTTTCTACAAGATTATCAAAAGGGAACTTTGACTTGAAACCCTATAATTCATTTGAATAAAGATAAAATTTCCCAAATGTTTATACCAAAGTCCGGACAACGGTGTACTCGGGAGGCCAAGGCAGGAAGATTGCTGCGAGTTCAAGACCAGCCTGGGCTACACAGTGAGTTCGAGGCCAGCCTGAACCACATAGTGAAACTGTCTCAAAAGACAAAAAATTAAGTCCTGATGACCTAAGTCCTAGCCACCTGAGTCCCACCACTTCCACGACTCAGCCATCGCCACTACCGCCCCACCCCACCTGCACACAGTGCGCTACCTGGTTTTCCCACCAGGCTTGCGCCTGCTCTGCACACCAGGGGACCACCCTGAGATCCTGAGCATGCTCAGACCCTAACTGGAGCAGCAGCCTCCCAGCAAGACCTTGTGTGGCCTGTCCACACAACAGCAAGAGCTTCGGCAGAGCTGTGCTTAACCATCACCCCCTACAGTGCTTAGGGACGCTCTGCCCTCCCACATCCCACGTTCCCACACCTGGCGACCGTGAGCCTGCCCTTTCCTCTCCTCTACACCCTAGTTCTTAGCACTTGATCCGAGGAATAGGCAAAGAAGCTGAGCAGCACTTCCAACAGTGTGGCCTCTGCCTTTGCACCTTCGCTGTTTGGAGATGCGCGTGAACCGTGCCTCTCTGAGACCCTGCGGTGGACGACTCAGCATGTGTTTGCCAAACAGCAGTGCACCCCAGGCTGTGCTGTAGGAGCGTGGGGTCCACTGAAGGGGCACGGCCACCGGCCTCCCTTTAAAAGGTCACATGGTTCGCGGGCTGCAAAGACCTGGAGCTGAACATTCCAAAGGCTCTGTCGTTATCTGCTTGCCTGCAAACAGCACCTTGATTGTCTGCCGAGGAAGCAAAACAGTATATTTCTCAGAGCCTAAATTTTGAGTTTATACAAACCCCAGTACCCATGGTAAATCTCTGTACACCAATAGTACAAGTCTGCACGAGCAGTGGAAGCTCTTCGTGTCTGGGCTCCTGTGGTAGCCAACTTTCTATCGCTGTGACAAAATACCTGGGTAATCAACTTAAAAAGAAGAACAGCTTATTTTTGGCTGACAGCTTCCAAAGTGACAATCTTTGGTCATTTGGCCCTATTGCTTTGGGCCTGTGGGGACGCTTTAGCAGCAACGATCTCCAGAGGTGATCTCTACTCACCTCATAGTAGCCAGGAAGGGGGGGGCAAGGTCCCAGTATGCCCTGCAAGGTCATGCCCCACTGCCTGCCATAGGCACCAGCTCCTTAAGATTCTGTCACCTCCCAATTGTGTCACAGCCTGACAAGCCTTTCACTCACAGGCCTGGGAAATGCCCTAGATCCAGGTACAGCAGCTCCATCAACTGTCAAACAAGGTAGTGCCTACTGCAAACATGAAATACAGTAAGCATGCATCAAATAATGATGATAGAGGGCATGCTGGAAGCAGGTGATGGTGATGGTGGTGATGATAGCGATGATGGTGGTGGTGATGGTGGTGGTGATGACATGGTCGTGGTGGTGACGGTGGTGGTGGTGATAATGATGATGGTGGTGGTGGTAATGGTGGTGATGTGGTGGTAATAATGGTGGTGGTGGTGGCAGTGATGGTGGTAGTGATGATG